TTTTTATTTTTTTTTAATCGAAACAAATAAATTAATTAAATTTATTTCACGCCAATTTCACACGTTAAAAAAAAAAAAAAAAAAAAAAAAAAAAGAGAAAAAATTTTTCACAAACGTAAAACTTTATAATGATTGGGGGGAATTTGCTTTATGAGATATCATCCATTACCCGATTTTACTAATAATACTAAAATATTTACAATCGACGCCATTTACAACGTACTTACACGCACAACCACACCCACACGCGCACACGCACATTATCATTTAAAAAATGGTGGAAAATTTACAAAAAAAAAAAAAGGTAAAAATCATCACCGTGTCGAAAGTGACAAACTCGATTACAAATTTCCGGTTTGTACATAAAAATTTTTCTCAAATTTTATTAAATATTTAAAAATTATTTAAAAAACCGGAAATGCATCTTAAAGAAAAAAATTACGTTGGAAAGCCAAAAAAAAAAAAATTTTTTTTTACTTATTTATTTATTAACGTAAGAACAATGTAAATAAAATCCCTTCTCCTCCCTCATTTACCCCTCCACCCCCCCCTCTTCCCATTTCCCTTTTGTTCCTATGTAAAATTATTTATTTAAATGTCGTGGGCGAAAACTAACAAACAATTCAAAAAATTAAAAAAAGGAGGGAAAATTTTTGAAAAGCGTTTAAAATAAAAAACGACGACGACGAGTTCACAACCCGCCAAATCAAAAAAAAAAAATAAAAAATAAAATAATTAATTCTATCGCGGTTAATCATTTTCGACCTCAAATATCAAGCCAAAAGAATGAAAAATGGCGTCTTCACGCAAAAAAAAAAGAATAATAATAATAATAATTTGAAAAAAATTTTAAGATTAATTATAATACATTTAAATCAAGTCGGTGTGTTTAAACTAACTTGATTTTCTTTATATATATATATATATATATATATATATATAACTTTTAGAAAAAATTTTTTGACAGTTAATTTATTTGTCTATTCTTTTAAAAAACGCACGCACGCACGCACGCATTATTTGACCGATTTCTTTTTTTACCTCTCCCGTAGGGTGGGGAAGAAGGGGAAGAAGGGGGGACACGTTTAGAAAATATTAAATCGCGAAATGAAAAAAAAACATACCTTGAGAATGAGAAGTAAATCCATTGACGAACGCTTGTGACAAATTATTATAACTACTTCCGGTGTTGCATTCGTTCTGCCATATTTTCTAAAAAAAAAAAAATAAAAAATTATAAAGATGCACGTAAATTATCGATAAAACGTTAAATTCGTTCGAGCAAAAAAAAAAAAAAGAAAACCGGAAGTACTCATCGTTAATAACAAAGTGCAAACATGTTTAACGAACCGCGAAAAGGACCACCTCGTAAGAAAAAAAACGTGACCCAAACAACATTTCAACAGGAAATTTCAAAAAAAAAAAAAAATTTGAAACCGATCGTTGGAGGGAGAGAGGAGGGGGGAGAAGTGGGGAGGGGAGAGAGGATAAGAGGGAATAAAAGGGATCGTGAAATTTTTCAAAAATTATTTTTACCTTTTTTTAAAATGAAAGAAGTGAAAAATGTCGAGGGATGGTTACGGATGTTGAAAAATCATTTGATCCCCCTAATTAAATGAACCATTTAATATGATATTTATTCATCCCGAAACACAACACGATGGAATCATCTTCGGGGAGGAAAAGAAGTAGGAGGAGGAGGAGGAAAAGAAGTAGGAGGAGGAGGAGAACAAGAAGGAGGAGAAGAAGGAGGAGAAGGAGGAGGAAGAGAAGAAGAAGGAGGAGGAGACGAAGAAGAAGAAGAAGGAGGAGGAGGAGAAGAAGGAGGAGGAGGAGACGAAGAAGAAGGAGAAGGAGGAGGAGGAGAAGAAGGAGGAGGAGGAGACGAAGAAGAAGGAGAAGGAGGAGGAGGAGAAGAAGAAGAAGGAGGAGGAGACGAAGAAGAAGAAGAAGAAGAAGGAGGAGGAGACGAAGAAGAAGGAGAAGGAGGAGGAGGAGGAGAAGAAGAAGAAGGAGGAGGAGACGAAGAAGAAGAAGAAGAAGAAGAAGAAGGAGAAGGAGGAGGAGGAGAAGAAGAAGGAGGAGGAGGAGAAGAAGAAGAAGGAGGAGGAGACGAAGAAGAAGAAGAAGAAGAAGGAGGAGGAGACGAAGAAGAAGAAGAAGAAGAAGGAGAAGGAGGAGGAGGAGAAGAACAAGAAGGAGGAGAAGAAGGAGGAGAAGGAGGAGGAAGAGAAGAAGAAGGAGGAGGAGACGAAGAAGAAGGAGAAGAAGAAGAAGAAGAAGGAGAAGGAGGAGGAGACGAAGAAGAAGAAGAAGAAGAAGAAAGAGGAGGAGAAGAAGAAGGAGGAGGAGGAGGAGGAGAAGAAGAAGAAGGAGGAGGAGGAGGAAAGGTAAATAAATCCCCGAATCAAAATTATATTAATTACTTTTATTATTATTATTATTAACTTTTTTCGTGAAAATTATTTTTATAAACTTATTTCCCCCTCTCCCCGTTACCCCCCCCCTCTCTCTCTCTCGATCCCCTCACGAAAAAAAAAAAAAATTATCTGATTTCATTAAGAATCCTGCCATGATTTTGGCTTAATTCTGGGAGATAATTTTTTTTTTTTTTTTTTTTTAAACCGGACGATTTAAAAAAACTAAACAAAATGTTTTTTGTTTATAAAAAAAAAAAAAAAAAAAACAAGATTCCTTTTTTTTTTATTGACAACAAACTGCTACTAAAGTTTAATTAGTCAACCGCAAGGACTTATTAAAAAAAAAAAAATTAAAATAATAATAATAATAATAATAATCAGATGTATGCCACATGTATGTAACACGTTTAACGTTATCACAATATTAATAATAATAATAATATAACATTACAAAATGATTTTTTTAACCCCTGCATGGACCACTGCTAATAATTTTTTTTCGAAATAAATTTTAAATAAATTTTTAATAATATTTTCCTGTTGCTGTTTTTCCAGAAGGTTATTGACCTCGATCATCAGTTTTCCAAAGGATCAACAAACCGATACGAAAAAGGGGGAAGAAAATCTTTTTATTAAGGTAAGATAATTTTTTTTAGGGATAAAATGGCGGCCATGTCGGCTATTTAAATTTCCTTTGATGTTTTTTTTTTTTTTTAACGTGAGAAATTACCTTGTCTTCCATTAAAACCACTTTACCTTCTAATATAAAAAAAAAAAAAAATTTAAAACCATTTTGTATTTAAAAATGAAAAAAAAAACACAAACTGGCAAAAGTTCAATTTTAACTCTCTCTCTCTCTCTCTCTTTTTCTATCAAATTTAATTTTTTTAAATTAATAATGGCGTTTTTTTTTTTAAATTTAAATAAATAAATTCAAACAGGAACGAAATCATCAGAACGCTCTAATTAAAAAAAATTTTTTCAATTTACTATTTTTCTATATGGAAATATAAAAAAAAAATGCGTGGGCGTGTGTACGTGGATTGCAGGGGAGGGGAGGGGAGGGGATAATAATAATTTTACTTACTGACGTGATTTTTATCAAAAGAAAAAAAAAAAGGAAATAATTTATGTCAATTTTTTATTCGTGATACGTGAAAATTGGCAGAACATAAAAGAAATTTTTTTTTTTTTCGATTTGAATGAAAAAAAGTTTCCATCACCTTTTTATCTATCCACTGGAATTTAAATTCTTCATGTTTTTATTTACACAAGTAAATTTTTTAATTACGAACACGGAATTTCCAGTAAGAAAGTTTACTTGGTACTTTTATTAACGAATTTTTACCTTTTCCAGGCAGACGTTTCATGAATTCACGTGGAAATTCATAAAATGACGTCATTATTTAAACCAGAAGGAAAGTAACGGAGGAAATATTGGAATTGGAAATCTCCAGGTTTCGGTAAGTAAAAACAAAATTTATTCAACTAATTATCATTTTAGTGCTGGAAATATACTGGAATCGCGATAATAATATATTTTTTTTAAATTTAAACAAATTAAAAATTTTTGGAAAAATCGATTTTTCCAACAACGATTCACGCGTTTTCTATAACCGAAATTCAAATCGAAAAGTTTTTTTTTTTTTTTTCTAAGCCTGGAACGAATGTCGAAATTTAAATGAAAATATTTTAACGTACCCATGGGGGTTTGTGATTAATAATAATAATAATAATAAATACACAACACGTATACACACACGTGTCAGTTTCATCAGAAAACATTCCCAAAAAAAATTTTTATCGACAACGAATGATAGAAAAAACGATCATAAGTTAAGCGTGTTTCCCAAATCGAAATTTTAATTTTTTAAATAAGAAAATTTTTTTTTTCGAAATTCCCCTCACCCCCCATCCCCCCCAACAAAAAAAAAAAAAACAAATTAAATTTATTTATTTATTTTTTGTTTTCGTCACCCGGTTCGCCCACGTAAATTATCATCATCATCATTCACAGCAATTAAATATTTAAAAATAATATTTTATTTTACAAAAAAAAAAAAAAATTGAAAAATATGATAAATTACTTCGTCATCTTGGAAAACAGAAAAAGATCAAACATTAATTTCCCCCCCCCTTCGCCTCCGACTCCCCCATCTCTTCTCTCCTCCCAGGAACGTATTTTATTTATTGTAAAAGAAAAAAATAATAATTATTTTTTCCGTTGATTAGAAAAAAAATAAATAAATAAATAAATAAATAATAAATTTCTATAAGAAAACTTTAATAAACTATTATTATTATTATTATTATTATTATTATTATTATTAATCATGAAAATTATGTGTTTTTTTATCTACAGACCGTAATTCCTGGACTTTGATCAAAAATTTTCTTCTTTCGCGTTTTTACCATTCGCGCCCTGGCCCCCTTTCCCCCCGCCGTTTACAAAAAGAAAAAAACATTTATATTCATCGTTATCATCGCGCCATTATTATTATTTTTTTTTCTTACTTTTACGCACGAAATTTGTTTTTTTTTTTTTTTGTAAAATTTTAAATAATACATTTTGGCATTCGTTCCAGAGTTCAAAAAAAGGATTTAAAAAAAAAAAAAACGGAAGTGTAATAACCGTTAAAAAAAAAATCCCTGCAAAACGTTTGAAAACAAATTTCCCTGCTTAATTTTTGTTTTTGGCGCAAAATTTTCTGGAAAAGCCTTTGAGTTTCCTATACTTTATTCTTTAAGCTTAAACTCTCTCTCTTTCTCTCTCTCTCTCTCTCTCTCTTTCTCTTTCTTTCTCTCTTTCTCTCTTTCTTTCTCCCTCTCTCTCTCTCTCTCTCTCTCTCTCTCTTGTACATCACGCTTTTCTCAATTTTTATTTTCACATTCTTCTTCTTCTTTTTTTATTTAATCTTTTCCACTTGTAAAAACCGTTACAGACAAAATTAACAAAAAAAAATTGATTAGAAAAATATCTTTTAAACGCGCCTAAAACTACTAAAATAAAGCAAGCTATTAAAAGCTAAAAAAAAAAAAAAAATAACTTTGAAAAGACAATTAAATTTCGAAAAAGGGACAATAAATTGTATAATTTGTGTGAAATCGGGTTTTTTTTTTTTTTTTTTAGTCGGATCCCGATTTATGTCGGAATAAAATAAAAAAAAAAATGGAGATACCACGTGTGTTGAGAAAATAAAATAAATAAAATAAATTATCAATTAATAATATTAATAAAAACGGTTGTTATACACCCTCGTAATGATTTCAAATCGGTCATAATTCGGTTAATATTCGAACCGGAAAATATTTATAATAATAATAATAACAATAAATTATTATAAAATTATTATAAATCGTTCCAAACAAAAAAAAAAAAAAAAAAAATTGCATAAATTTAATCGAAATTTACGTCGACAAGATGATGATAATAATAATAAAATATTAAATCATCCGAAAATAATTTTGTATTCATTTAAATAAATCTGTCTAATTCCACGTTAGTAAACAATTAAAACTTATCGTCTAATGTTATTGATTTGTCATTATAATCAAACGTCATAGAGTAAAAAACAAATAAATCTAATTTATTAAGCGCCACCATCGAAATTTCAAAATGGCGGTGTTTTGTTTGTTAAAAACGAAAGAGTGTAGTATAAAATCAATTCGAAAAAATTTAAAAATATAAAATAATTAAACGTAAAAAATAAAAAAAATGGGGGGGAGAGACAAAATTTTTTGTTACGTAATAATATAACCACTTGAGAATTAAACGGTAAAGTTAAAAAAAAAAAAAAAAAATAATTTTCAGATGTCAGTTTATTATTATTATTATTATTATTATTATTAAAAGAAGGGCTGTCATATCATTTGTCAACAATATGTCAGATCCTTTACGTTTACCACCCAATAGGTTTTAAATATTATTCATTAATTTTTTCTTTTATTAACGGATATTATTATATGTAAACATATTTTTTTTTTTAAATTTTAAATATATATATATATATATATATATGTTCGTCACCGAATGAATTTTTAAATAATAATAATAATTTTCCCCCCCAAAAAAAAAAACACGTTAAAATAAAATTTTTACAAAACGTCGATTAAGTTTTAACGCCGACAAAAATAAAAATAAAATTTTTTTTTTTTTTATTAACAAAAACTAAATAAAAAGTCGTGTCAAAAGAAAAAGAAAGAAATTGTGTTTTGTCTAAAATTGTTAACGGTTTGTCTCAATATCAAGAAAAAAGGAACATTAATCACGGTTAAAATGTTTTGACTTTCTATTTCCGGTTTATTAAAGGACCCGGTGTGAGGGAGGAGGGAGGAGGGGTGAAGGGGAGGGGTAGGGGGACGTAGTTTTTGAATCAATGCAGAAATTATTATTGGATGATATTTTTTAAAACACGTTCTGTCCATTATCATCCAAATTAATTTGTATTACTCTATGACTTTTTTTTGGACAATTTCAACGACAACGACAACGAAACGTCTTGAAATAATTTTTTTTTTTTTTTTTTGGGGGGTTCTTTTGAGTTGACATTTTTTTTTTTTTTTTTTTTTCATTCGTTAATGATTACAACAAGTTTGACATCGTAATTTTTAGGGAGGATACAAAACTACATTCACGTAAAAATCTCTCTCTCTCTCTCTTTCTCTCTCTCTCTCTCTCTCTTTCTCTCTCTTTAATCTTTTCGAATTTAATACGATATTTATGCTCCTTTCAAAAACTACCAAACTAAAAATTTTTTAATAAATTACTTTTAAACGTTGAAAGTAATAAATTAATTGTAAAATGTTATTTAATGTTTGTTAAAGATTTTTTTGTTTAAAAAATAATAATAATAATAATAATAATAATAATAATAATAATAATAATAATAATAATAATAATAATAATATTTAAATGAAAAGAGAAATACGGTTCGTTAAGTGCAATTAATTTTTTTTTTTTTGGCAAATTTTTCCTAACAGATCGATTTGGGGAAAAATACTAAAATAGATGTTCGAACCTTATTTTAATAGAGTAAAATAATAATAATAATAATAATTTTTACAATTAAAACAAACCAAATGATGATTTTGACAACTTTATACCTTTTTTTTGGACTCTCACAAGTTTTGTTTTATTCTTTTTATCCAAAAAAAACTAAATTACTAATAATAATTTAATTAATTATGGATTCAATATAATTTCCCACCATTTTTTTTTTTTTTTAGTTTAAATAAAAGAAATTATTTTATTTTTTTCACACGGAAGTACTAAATTTTTTTTCAGGCAATTTAATTTTATTTATTGATTGTTAGACATTCATATTTAATTAATTTAAAAATGAATTTAATATTAATAATCCTAACAACATCAAAAACCTACGCTTTAATTTTAAACGTCCCATAAACATTAATAATAATTTTAATTATCATTTTTTTTTTCAACTATTGTTAAAAAACATAATGATCCCGTTGATTTTAAAAAAAGAAAACCTGAATTTTTGAAACCTTGATTTTAATTAATTGAATCATTTTGGGTGTCATCGAGAGTGTATGGGATAGTTTTAAAAAAAAAAATTTTTTAGGTTAAGAAAATAAAAAAGAAAAACTCACCACGTTTGATTGATTTGTTTTCCCTGATAAATTATTTATCGATGTACCTTGAAGTAAATCGTTAAGAGATTCTATATATTCTATTGCATTCCTTAATATTTCAACTTTGGGCAACCTTTGATTAGGATTTGAACAAGTTCTTCGTTTTAATACTTCAAAAGCTTCATTAACCTAAAACAATTATGATGTTCTTATAATCACATGAAAATTTGTTTCATCCCCTTAATCTTTATAAAATTTAATATATGTACATAATTTTAATATGTTTATACTATAATTAAACTATTAGAGTTATATTTTAGCATAAAGTTTTCATAATTGTATTTGAGTAAAATTTTAGTTCAAATACTAAATTCTTTATGTGTTACTTAACTTCTCATGAACAGCACACAATTAGACAGTAAGAGAAAATTAATAATTTTTTAACAATTTTATTTATTTTAAAATAATATGTAATTGAAATAGTAATAAAAAGCTTTCAAAAAGCTCTATGAACAATATTAATGTTTATTTCTAAATCTTTTCTAATTCAAAAACTAACTTTTCCCTTTAAAACTTGTCTGATTTTTGTTTTGCATATAATTTTTACTTAATAATAATAATAATGCTTAAATTATATACTTTTTAATATTGTAATGATTTTTTAAAAAAAATTTAATGTATATTATGACTCAGTCTCTCAATTTCCTAGCACAATAATGTCTGAGTTATCTGAAAATAATAATAATAATAATAATAATCATGTGTTTATCATAGTGAAAAAAGCAACGTTTACAAAAAAACGTAATAATATTAAATTATTTACATAGAAAAAAAGCTAACTTTGCTAATTTAACTGTAAACTTAATAACAATTAAAGCAAAAGTTCTTATCTTAAAAAAAAAAAAAAGAAAAAAATGCAAATTGACATTTTTCGTTCACGTTCATAAACTAATTGAACAAAAATTTTTCAGTTAAGAAAAAAAAATGGCGGACGGTTCGAGGTAGTAATTTTTATTGAATTTCGACTATTATAATAACCAGTAAATTTAATAAGGTGTTTAAAGTAAAAGAAAAAGTGTGAATTGTATAGTTTGTTTTACCTGTAAAAACTTTTTAAAATTTAATTACGAAGTGGTGGTAAAAATGTTTAAAATAATTAATTACATACACTGACGCTTTGTAGTAACGGTTGCTCGAAAACGTTTGTTCTAGAACTTTCTTTTTTTAAAAAAAATGTATTAAACAGATTAATTATGTGAAAAAACTATTGAATAACAATGTATTAAATATTAAATAATAATGTTTTACCTTTCTAAGTCGTCTTCTCTCTCTTAATGTGGCAGCTTTTCGACGATCGACCGTAACTACTTTTTTTTTGCAAGCTTTACACGCCCATAGCAAACATCGTCTGTTTGAATTATGGTCGCCTAAAACGTTTCCGGTTATAGATTCGTTTTGCAAAAACACGTCAGGTGCTAAAATATGGGGTACGTGTTGATCTTCATCAGAAAGTGATGATGAACATTCTAAATCTTCCGATTCGAACGAATCCGATAATGTTTTTTTCGAAACGGTTTTATTTTTTCTGAAATTAATAATAATAATAAATATCGCTTTAAAATACTTTAACGGTACCGGTAAATATTACTTTCGTAAAAATGGGCGCCATTTTGAGAAAAAAAAATAAAAGCATTGTTGTTTGATTTTGATGTGAACTTTTTGTGAATAAAATTTTGTGAATCATATGAAATAAATTTTAAAATTTGAATTTTAAGTAAAAAAAAACATAAGTGATACTTTAAATTTTTCATAAAGTGTTTATTAAGAGTGTAATTAAAATAAAAATCAATCAGTTTTGTGTTGTTTTGAAAACGGGAGTTGTTAATGGTTGAAATAATGGTAATCAATCCCAAAAAGGTAATTATGCATAAAATATTTTCATTTTTTTATGTATTTATATACACAGATTAAAAAAATGTTATTAAAAAATTAGTTTCTGATAGAAAATATAAATTCATTGAGGAAAAATGATGAAAAATATACTTTAAAATTAATGTAGAATATCATGATTAGTAATTTTACAATGATTATTTCTCCCAATAACAAGTAAAACAAAATTTATTTAAATAACATTTATTTATTTTTAATAAATTGGAAATTCTTAATTAGAATTTAAACATGATAAATTCTTCATTTACAATAACTAAAAATTTCTACAAAATTCAATTAGAATTAAAAAAAAAAAAAAATCAATAACCAATCATTTCATTATCATTATTAATGATCATTAAAGTTTCTTTAATAATATAATTTAATTAAAAATATTCCTTTTTACATTTTCCGACGGGATATTAAATAATTTTATCCGTCGTTAACAAAATTAATAATTAAAAAATAAATAAATAAATTTTTTCTTTATTTGTAAATTTAATTGTTTCAAAAACATTATTATTAACTTTTTATTTTTCAAAAGGTTTATTTTAATAGGATAATTTTATTTTTTTAAACAATAAGTTTTAATTGATTGATTAATTTTTTTTTTGTTGACACACACACACACACACTTAGCACTATAATAGACTTAAGTTATATAAAAATAATAATAATAATAAAAAATAATAATAATAATAAAACAAACCTAATAATTCTTTCTCTTTTGTAATTTTCACTGTTTGAACTACCATCTCCACTGGAACACCTATCTGATATATCAGGACTGCTATCATCCTGTCTAGAATTAAAAATTGTCTTATTATTCACTTTTTGAAAACTGAAACCCATAGTTTTTTGCAATTCATTCGAAAAACCATAACGACAATGATTCATTATAAAAAACTTTTTTTTAACATTTCAATAACAACAACAACAAAAAAAAAAACAAAAAAAAAACTGTGAATTTTTTTTATTATATGTTTTACAAACACTTTTTTTTTTTTTTTTTTTTTTCAAATATTCATTAAATTTAATATTAAATTTTTTTTTTTTTTTTGTGTAACTATCACATCAAATACAAATAATAAATAAATAAATAAATAAATTCGGTTAATTTAATTACGGTTACGATGTGACGAAGACACGTTAAAATCTTAATAAAAACTTAGCCCGATGAAGAATTTTGTATCTTTGTCACACTGTTGGGGTATAAATTGTTTAATCAGTGGCGGTTGTTGAAACTTATATATATATAAATATATATTTATAAACATTTTAATTTATTTTAATTCTGTACGTAAGGTATATGTATTATTATTATTATTTTGTTTTTTTTTTTACTTCAAATTTTCATTTCGTGTATTTAAAAAAAAAAAAACAAAATTTTTATCATATTTCATACGTATACACATTCGATTTTAAAAAGTTTAATCTCGCGTTTAACGTGGAATTAGAATTATTATCGCCACTGATTTTTATTCTATTTTAGGTAAGCGTAACGGTTTTCGAGCTTTATTATATATGGCGGTACCTGTTAAGTCGTGTAATTAATATTTGCGTTTAGTTATTTATATCAAAAATACCAAGTTTTTAGTAAGATAGAAAATTGCAATTGTTTATTATTTTGTTGTTTTTTGTCTTTCTTGTTGAATTTACAAATCAATAAATCTATAATCACCACGGTTTTCTTCTCATCCCGTTCTCCGCTTTCGGTGATGATACCAAAAGATGGACGACCGTTACCCGAACACGATCAGAAAAATCCTTTTTTCATCTTCTTTTATTTATATCTCACTCATATCTCAAAAGTTCTAACAATGAGAAAGTACAAAGGAAAAGAAGGTTTATAAGGTTCGCTTGTATTTTTTACTTCGGTATCCATTGTTAGTACTTTTTGGTGTTTATAACGGCTATAAATATCGTCGCGAATATATTAAGAATGGGATCATAACGATATTTTCTTATAATGTGTTTTTAAAATATTTTAAAATATCATAAAATTATCAGTTTACATATAAAAATATAATTTATTTAACTTTAAATTTATTTGTTATTTAAAAAAATAAAATAAAATAAAGACCTATTTAAAATAGAAGTTTTTTTTTTTTTTATGATTGTGGGTAAAAATTATTTCGTATGTTGTCAGCACTGACAACGCATTTTCTTGTTCATTTTGGTGAATTCCATTACTAAATTTACTTGTTGTTTAATCAAATCATTTTTTTTTTTTTTTTTTTATAACTTATTTCGAATTATTTTTTCGTGAAATTATGATAAGATGAATAATAGATTATTGTTCAAACAATTTTAGTTATCAGTATCAGTAAGGTTTATTTCAATTAAAAAAATTTTTAATTTTTAAATTGTATACGTGTTCTTTGTTGTAATGATTTTTTTTTAATTTCGAAAATATTTCAAGTATTTAAACTTGATTTAATAATTTTTTGCAACGTTCAAGTAAGTAGTAAATAAAAAAATTTAATTCTTTGTTTTTTTTTTTTTTTTCTGTTTTAGTTATAAATGTGTTAAAAATCATGGATGATATGAAAAGTCTTGATGACAGAGTACTGGACAGTATAAATGAATTTCAAAAATCAGTTTTGAAATTGAGATTTTTAGAAGTAAATGAAAGAGATTTGTTAAACATGATCAAAATCATTGATGAAACTCATTTTTTTTGTATTTATTGTAATAAGCATTATTATGTACTTTCATCGATTTGTGATAAAAATTCATTATTTCAAAACCATATTAATTCAAGTTATCACAGATCTTGCGGCTTAATAAATCCCATTGAATTTTCAAAAATACTTTCATGGGAAAAATTTGGATTAACAGCTTATTGTAATGTTTGTAATATATCAGATATAAATGCAATAGTCTTTAATACTGGACTCACAGTTGATAATCTTATTAAATGTCACGAATGTACACAAATTGAATTAATCAAAATTGAGTCTTTATATAGAAATTTGGCTATAATTAAACTTTTTAGCTGCTTAGAAATTTTTTTAAATGCATTTTTTGACAAAGATAAAAATGCTAATTGTTTGCTATGTTTAAATGGAATGAATTCATCAATGCATGAAATGAAAAAACATGTAGTAAGCGATGTTCATACAAAAAATTTTTTAGAAATCATAAAAATGCTTTTCGATTTTCAATTTAATGATTTGTTGAATGGTTACAATTTAGAGAAAATCATTTCTTATTTTATTGAAAACAATTTTACATTGAAATCAATTAAAAATATAGAGTATCCACTTGGTAAAGATGTAAAGGAAATGTGTAGAATTGAATCAAATGATATTGAAAATTTTAACAATGAAATTTTTTTTTCTCCTATATCAATTATAAAAATTATTAAAAATGTAGATGTTGAATCTAAGAAATTTTCACTACAGTTTATTGCATTTTTTGTAAAAAAAAATTTAACTCAAATGTCAATTATTCCAATAATATTATATTATTTTGTGACGGTCATGAAAAAGAAAAAGAAAAAGGTTTTGAAGGTTTTTGTAAAAACGATGTTACAGATATTTTTAATTTAAAATTATATTTAAAATCTGTTAGCGATGAGTTTATTTCTGATAAACTAAATAGTATTGTTGGAAAAAAAAATGAGAATAATGTAATTGTGCCAAAGAAAAAGAAAAAAGCTATAC